CTGGGGCCGGGCGGGCCTGCCACTGTCAGGAGTCTTCACTTGCATCTCTTGTCCCACCTGGCTCTTTCAGTGTCACATTTGAAGGGGGGGAAGAAATAAATATCTTCCTGGTACTAATGTTTTAATTTCTTATGTAAAAGCACGTGCACTCTTTTCCAACAATGTACCCTTAGCATCTTTAAATATGTATCAATCATAGAATCCCAGACTGGTTTGGGTGGGAAGGGACCTTAAAGCTCATCCAGTTCCAACCCCCCTGCCAGCAGCAGGGACACCTTCCACTAGACCAGGTTGCTCAAAGCCTCATCCAACCTGGCCACAAACACTTCCAGGGAGGAGCAGCCACAGCTTCTCTGGGCAACCTGGGACACTGTCTCACCACCCTCACAGTGAAGAACTTCTTCCTAATATCTAATCTAAACCTACCCTCTTTCAGCTTAATTGGTGTAACTCAGATCATGAAATGTATATAATTCACCCTCTAGAAAGGTAAAACTCGGATGGATCCCCCTTTTGCACACTACTTCCAAGCTTGAACCCATCATGTTGCTCTCTGGCCCATCCTTTTCTACAGTGTTATCTCCTGCCCACTCTCCTGCTCCAGTTTTTCCCATTTTGCTTCCCTCATCCCACTCTCTGCTCCTCAGTTTCTGCTCTAGACCCACCAAACCAGTCCAAGAGTTCCCACTGATGCGATGCTCCTGCTCAGTTCCAGGCTCTGTCTCCTGCAGGTGGCACGGCTGCAGACGAGCGTGGCGGAGGAGTACACTCGCTATCTCAACGAGCACGACGCCCGCAAACTGCTCCTCGCAAAACTCAACGATATGCGTAACGAAGAGCTGGAGAGGACACGGCACCAAGGCCAAGGTAGGCAAAGCAGATCTCTGGAAGAACCTGACCTGCATAGAGACCCAAATGCACCCCATGGGCACAGCATTGCAGTGAAAATACTGAGTCTCTCTGAAATACCTTCAGAAAGGCTTTGATTCTTGAAAGTTGGACAAATTAATGGCCAAAGAATCCATAAACGGGTAGAAAAGGGAAGAGGCAGGAGTGTAATCATCTGAGCTGATTCAGAAAGTCATTGCTTGGATGCTCGGATGCTCTTGCTTAGCACAGCGGGTAAATTGAAGGCAGTAAGGTTTTTTATGTTTGTTGATTCCAGTGCCAATTCTCAGCATGTCTCACCTAGGCACAGCTGCCAGCCTTGTGCTTGTCCACAAGGACAGACAAAACTGCTGAAATTCAGATGTCACCTGGCAGAGAGGTTACTCTCTAGATCCACGGTCTGGTTCCAGGCACCCACAGTGCTACGCTTCTTACTCGCTGGCTGCAGCCATTGCGTCTGCGTAAGGCGCCTGAGCCTCTGGATGTGTGTGTGTGTGTGTGTGTGTGCGCATGGGAGAGGAGGCAGGACAGTGGGTGGGAGTGTGGACACTGTAACATCCTCCTGGACTTGCAGTTCTTTCATGCTAATAACAGAGTCTATACCCATTCAGCTCTTGCCAACACTTTGTAGAATTATGTGGTCTAAGAGCTTAATAAATTATTTAGAAAACTACAACTGCAATTTCACTGCCATGGGCTTTCATCAGTGGCTGTTGTTTAAAGCTGTCAAGGGTGAAGATGTGGTGAAGTTAACGCTGGCGTTAAAGATGGCTCGGCAGGACCTCACAAAAGCCCAGGTGAAGCTGAACAAAATGACAGCAGACTACGGAGATGTTGTGCCCAGGAGAGATTTTGAATCACTAGAGAAAAAATACTCTGAGTTACTTCAGGAGGTGAGCATAAACTCATAATTTTCAACTTATCCTGCAGAAACACGAACATAACACGATGCTTCAGTATTCAGGTTGGGATAGGAACTTAGAAAAACCTTGAGCTCACATGGGCTTTTCTTTGATTTTGCACATACATGAAAAGCCTCTGTCTGCTAATCCCCAAAAGCCCCCTGTCTATTGAAATCTCATCCTGCCAGAGCACTCAGAATGAATGTGCCATCACAAACCCTTCCTATCAGTTTTGAATTAATTGACACCATGGACCACCAAGAGCCCACAGATCACAGCTTGGGAACAGCTTGGTTTGAAGTCATTATATATGTAAACGGATGAACTAGGTTCACTTCACATACAGTGCACAGTTTTAACCAAACCATGGCTAACCAAAATTTCTCCTGGGCTACTAATGCTTATCTATCTAGCTGGGGTTTTGCCTTTTCCAGTTGTATTAAATGGCTTCTTTAACCTCCTGAAACTCCAAGGTCATCAACCCAGCTATGGGGCTGATCAATCCATGTCCTGGCTGTGAAAGAACTGGCTCAGGTTCCTCATGTTGGATCTTTTTGCTGACTTTTCAGAATAAATATTTGCCTGGCTTGCACTGGAGATACACAGGAGCAATGCCAGGTGTGGTGGTTTCACTGGGTGAGCACTGGGCAAGCCCTGGGCAAGCAGCCCAACACAGCTGCTCACTCAATGCCCCCACCCAAGGGGACAGGGGAGAGAATTGGGGGCAAGGGTAAGGAGACTCGTAGAGTAAGATAAGAACAGTTTAATCATGGAAATAAAGTAAAACTTAAAAGAATACTGATATTAAAATA